ACATGGTTCTTTAAAAATCTTTCTTAGACTGTAGCTTCCCCAATTAAACGGTTTTAAAGAGTTATAAAATATGATTTAAGGATTCTTTATTTTGAATGCATATAAGCTTGTAAGTCTGTAAGCAACTTTTTGGAGTACAATTTTAAGTATGTATCTCTTAAAATACAAAATGCCTGATGTAATAAGAACTTCTGTAGTTTATTATTATTAATAAATTACTTTAAAGTATCTAGGCCTTACAGAAAATACATGTTGCAGGGATAACCTTAGTGACCTATCTATACACTATATCTTCTTGTTTTTCACAGTTGTGGGATGCTGCTGCCTGGGAATTTCTGAAAACTCATTAAAATTTAAAAACTATTATGCTTGTAGACAAAAGAGCACATGCTAGCACAAATTAAGAGGTCCTGTAGAACATGGCAGGAGATGGGACTTGGTGACTCTTGCTCTTAGTGAAGTGTGGTGCAGCCTGCCGGGAAGGTGAGTGAGGCAGAGAGAGAGATGCTGAGAGAGAGGAGTGAGGGCATGAGTATCTTACAGCCAGCAGAGAAAGATGGGCATCGTGGATAGATTTCTCTGAAGGGCTTTGGAATTTGCATCAGATTTCCAAGTGGCATTTAGGAACAGAAGATGCCTTTGAACAGTGCTGTTTGCTGCCCACTGTTCTGTGATGAAGAATACATGACTTAGTAGTCTGAAACACAAAGAATCATGAAGATAATAACTATGGTTAATTAATAGAGACAATTTTAGTGAATTAACGTAAAAGGAGCACTGAAGTATTCTGAGTCTTCCTTCTAAAAACTAATGTTGATGTTTGCTTGTATGCCCTGAATTTTTCAGTACATTTACAGCAGAGTGTAGGAGGTTATCCCAGAAAGACCAGAAAAACTTGGTGTCTTACTGGCAGTTTGAATATTCAACATTAGGATAAACTATTAATTACGAGTAGCATAAATTCTTGGAGAGTTAATTTTATTTATACTGTTTATATGAGCTACGTAAAAATATCAGTGCCTTTATTTTTGTATTAGTAGTGACAATTGTCATGTTCTGTTCTCTTTATCCTCTTCCTGGAGTTTGTATTAGCTTTATATGCTTGTTGTTCTCCACATAGGATACAGATTTCAGCCAGATTTGTTCGTGTTGCTGGTCTTAATACTTGTACTGAGATCCCTTTGATTTTAGGTAACTTTCTGTTCATCACCTACTGATGTAATTATAAAGCTGTTCTTAAATGCCCTTTTTTAAAATTGGGGAACAGCTAAAATATACCCATATATCCTAGGGACTGGTTTTTGGTTTTGATTTGTAAAATTCAATTACAGCTGTTTTTTGTCCATATCCAAATTTTCCAAAACTTTTTTATTTTGGGAATTTCGAACAAAGGGCGGTAATTTCACACCAGCATTTTAGTAGAAAAAAACTTGGGCAAATTTGTTTTTTCAAAACCTATTCAAATTTTTAAAGTGATAATACACAAACCAAAAGATTATTTGACCTGCCATCTGGTCTGAATCATCAGATTTCATAGTGAAAGAGACTTCAGAAATAAAGTTCCTTTGTATAGGTTATTTGTAATCAGTCAATCACATCACATCTTACTCTGGGCTTCTTTAGAAGTCTCTGAGACTCTGTTTTTCCTGTAACACAGGGGGAATCCTTGGTGAATCCAGGCTAAAGGGGTGAAAGAAATGTGTGTCCCCTGGCACAGGGTAGCTGGGAGCAGCGTGGATGAACCTCCAGAGGATTTAGGTAGCTCAACAAGGCAACTCCGTAAGAAGAGTGAGTGTAGCTGGACAAGCTGAGTTGGGTTTTGGTTTGTTTGACCGGGTAGCACACCAACCTCAGCTGCTTTCTGCTGCTTGTTTCGATTCCTGTGCTACCTCCCAGGTCACGCCAGTCCGACTGTTTGCGTCATTGGGTGATGAATAAAGTCTAGGGATTTATTTCAGTTTGAAATAACCCTTTTTTTTCATAGTACTGTTAAAAAAAAGCCTTTGTCAAACAGCAGCCTAAAGGATTTCTATTGGACTGGTAAGAAATACAAGAGTTAGCTCACCTGTGCAGCCCAGTGAGCCAATGAAAAGGAAGGCAACAGTAAGCACGTTTCTTGCTGGAACGATAGACCTGGATTTGTGAGCAGTGGGGCTGCTGCTTGGGTATTCTCCTTGCATCCATTGAGAGAGAACTCGTGTATCTTCTTCATAAATAAACCTGATTATACACAGTGAAATACCTGCCTCTTGTCGTCCACTCCTCCCCATAATGGGAACAGCCTGGCAGTCCCCCAAGCCCTGACTGCCATTCCTGAGAGAAAGGTCACCATCACATTGGTGGGGGTTTGATGATCACCCAGGTTTTGGGAATGGAACCATAAGAATATTCTAGTCTTGCCAGTTCATTTAGAAATAAAAAAACCCATGGATTTGACAAAGCATTGTGATGGGATCTGCTGTTTTCCCAGGCCTCAGGAGGCCCACAGACTTTTGGCAGGGTTGTCCTGGCAGGGAACATTAGAATGAAAATACCACCACTGAATCTGTTTGTTTAAATTTCTACTAAAGCTCTACAGTGAAAGACAAAGGAGATTATTTACCAAACCCATGCTGTGAGGATTATATAAACATCTTGAAATTTAGCTTGATCTAACAAGATCTTGAGCATTACCACCTTGCTATCTTGCAAATTGTAGCCTGTACAGAAGAAGAAATTAACTTTTGCATTTCTGTGTACTGTGGCAAATCCCAAACACCAAAGCAAAAATATTTGCTATATAAAAAGCATACATGTGTTCCTAATCTTTTCTTTAACATCATCTCTGTTTTGTAATCACCATTTTGTGTTATATATCTAGTCTATCAAACAGGTGTCACTTTATGAATTGCCAACAAACCTTGTGCTCTTACTTCCACCGCTCAGGCACTGAGTTTCTCACTGTAGTTTCTGCTCAGTGCTCATATGTAAAGAGCAAGTCATGGAAGCCTTTAAACTGTGGTCCAATCTCTACATCACCTGTTTGCCAAAGAAAAAGAAATCTAGTAGTTTCTTAACTTCAGAATAGCAAATATACTTCAAAATAAAATAAAACCCCTTTTTGTACAGCTAGGATACCCTAGTAATGGTGATCACTAGGTCACCCATATAAAAATATAGTGGGAGTGACAGTGAACAAAGTGCCTTTTCAGCTGACAGCTACTTCACCAGACAGCTTAGAAGCCAGGATGACTCCACAGAAGGAAAACCTCATAATTCATATATGTTTGAAACATCCAAGATTCAATTAATGGAATTAGTATATGATGCCTAGAGTGTTTTGTCTGTTCAAAGCTGTGCTCAACTTGTTCTCACAGCTCCATTGCAAGGTGAAGCAGTAGACTACAGCATGACTTCTGACTCACATACGGGTAATTGCCTCTCCATTTCCCTTCCTGACTGTTGATTTTGTCTGTGATATCAATCTGTGCCACTTATTGTTCTGCACTGAGCCATTTTTCTGCCTCTTGTCTTGCACTGTGGAGTGGTAGGAAGAGATAAGACCTAAAGCACAAGTAGGTATGGACTTTCAGGAGATGCAGGAGAGGCGAGGTTTACTCTTGTCTTATGGGAAGTTGCCTGTAGATTTAGACAACAGAATGACATAAGTTTTTGTATCTAGCAGAAAAGGCAGCTTCCAAAGACTTAAGTATTTTTAGTTGTTTTTTTTTTTAAATAAACTCTACCATAATATTTTCAAGTTTCAACTCAAGATTCTTTCTAGCAAAAAGTAGATGATTTAGCACTATTCTTAGTGACCACCACTACAAGTTACTGTCTTAGGAAAACTCTAACACCATCTTTTGACTGCTCAGGGAAATGCAGTGACTACCTTGTATTTAGACTTTCTAAGTCTTACACAGATTTAGATATTTTCAGTATCAAAACTTTGAATATTTGTTTGAAGCTTTATTGATTTCAGTCATTGCTTTTGCAAGTTGCTACTGACATTGCTTTCTACTGATAAAGCAGCTTTTCTTACAGATTTCTGGGGAAGAATTCAAGGCTTTGGTTTTTTTTTAATACCGTCAATACTGTGTTTGGATTCCCTCCTGATTCATGGCAGAAGGTTTTGATGACATAATGCACACTTCAGGTAGCAATGAACTGTCACTGATTTTCCTCGTATTTATTTTTCCCTTAGTATCTATGACTCCTTCCTTCTTCCTCCAGTTTTGATATCTGCATTTCCAGTTAGTAAGTCTGTGGGGTTTTTTCCATTTCAACATAAATCTTGTTATATATTTGCTTTGCCAAAAATAAAATCGAGAGCTACACTCATGCGTCCCACTTGCTCTTTGTATTTGGATTTGAGACCCAGTGTTGCAAGCAGATGCTCGGCAGTCACCATAAAAGACAACTGGTTTTTGTTAATGCAAAAAGATGAGAAAATTATTTCAGGCTGGCCAGTATCATATTGTACAATACATGCCTTATCCACACAGCTAGAGCAAAAAGCAAATTAATCATTTCTTTGATTACTGATAGTTGAAACTATGATACATATATTTCCTGAATTTCTTTCCTCAGCTTCTGATTAAAAAAATGTTCAAGGCCATAAATAGAGTGATCTCTGCATCTGTATCAGTATCATCTGTCATGCTCACATCCAACCCCTTCATTTACCAGAACTGAGATAGATTTTAAGGGGTCCTTAGTTAAACTCTTGGTCATGCAAGCAGCTGTGTGTGTGGAGAAGCCAATGGAGACCTTCAGGTGACCAAAAGGTTACTGATATGCTGCACTTATTAACTGGTTTTCCACATTTCCAGGGTTTCAAAGAGCAGTGGACTACAGGAAAAAGGCCAAATAATGGAAAAGTGTGAGGATAAAGGAAACAAAAGAAGGTAGACTGCCATGACTTGCACTGTCACAAAACAGTGGAGAAATAAAGAGAAGCCAGAGCTGCAGTTACAGACTGCTTCTCAGTATTAATTGCCCATTTCACGTGTCCCTACTAGGTGTCCTGGAGGATGGAAAATCAGCCCAGACAGGTGTAACCACAGCTTCAGCCACAGCTGGAACACTGAACACCGAGAAGAGGAACAACTCTGGTCCTCAGTGTGCGAACCCCACGGTCCATGAAGCAGGAGCTGCGACACAGAGACAGAACAGCTTCAGAGCAGCAGAGGTACGAGCATAATTATGTTCCATGATGCTCAGCACTAGTTTCATCCAGGTCAAATTCATTTTTGTGACAGTCTTCCTCGCTGCAGTCAAACCGTATTTATTGCCTTAGGTTAAGAGAAAATGCCTGCACCACAGCTGCAGCATGATTGAGCCTAGCACCTCTGACAATACTTCATGCCTGAACAGCCACAAAATAGATGTTTTATTTGGCAAGCCAAGTAACACACACACTTGTAACAGACAGAAAAATCCTACATGTGGGTTTTTTTGGCTCAGTCCAACCGTGTCATGTATTGTACAAACTGTTTAAATTAGTTATCTGAAAGGGAATGTGTTTTTCCTTTGTCTTAAATTATGTCCACATACTCTGGTTCATTCAATGCTGGATGTGAAGCCCAAAAAGGTCAATGGGAGTTTTTTCAATAACTTCAGTAGGCTTGGGATCAGATCCTTCCCATTCCTCCCCCTCACCTACTGTGTACTCTGCAGAAGGATCCTCCAATGTAACAATAAAGTATGAACACCCAAGGCTTTGGGGCCAGACCAAAGCCCAGACTTCTCCCGTTCTAGCTGCCTATCTGCTTGTCTCCCACAGGTTTCCACTTGCTGCCCTCTTTGTGCAACAGCTGCTGCTGAGCTGCTGCAGATAAAAGTAATCCAAACCCTACAGTTGGTTACTGCTTCCTCAGTTTCTCAGATAGGAAGACCTTTCGCCGTGGTGTGTGGTGGAACCACTACACCCAGCCCGTAAGAAGCTGTCCCCTCTGGGGAATCATGTCCCTGAGAGAGGAAAATTTAAACCCAGAGAGACGGAGCAAATGAAAAAAGGAATTTGGATTGAACTTCACCTTGCAATTCCTTTCAATGAATTGGCCAGGTTGGATGTGGTTGAACATAATTATTAATCCAATTTTAAAAGGACTTGGCCACACTCGAGAATTATAGTGTAGACTTGATGCATACATGGAGAAAATTGCTTGCCTAGTAATGTGAGAGACTGAAAAATTACTTCTGTATTTAGCTTTACTAGGAAGTATGGGCAAATTCCCACAACAAATTAATAATGGGAGCATTGTAATGGGACTCCTTAGGGACATGTGGGTTCCTGGCCTGGGGCCCTATGGCTTTGAATAGCAGACTCTCCTGCTTTTTTCTAGCTAAATACATTCAGTACTATATATCTGTACTGTTGCAACCCTGTGCAAAGAAAATTTATGATTATAAGTAGGGCATTTACATTATTCTACGCATCTACTACAGGTGTCTAAGACAGGAAGGTAATTTGTCTAAACTTCTTACAGTCAAAAAAGAAATATGTTTTCCTACTGTGAAAGTGTAGTGTCTAAGTTAGGCTCCAGCTCTGGTTTACCATTCTGAAGATCTCTTTCTCCACTGGCTGTTTAGGGAAGTGTAAGAAGAGTAGGTTTCAAATTTGGACATCTAAAGTTTAGAAGCAGAGAGCAGAGAATGCAACTATTCACCTCACCATCTGCAAGTCAAAATGTGCCCATTTTGTTAATCTGAATATTCACATTGACTATAGCTTTTCCTTTACCTCTACATGCTGTGGAATACAATGCAATGCAACACCCAGTGCTCTCAGGAGCACTTGCATGCCTCAGACAGACTGACTTTTTTTAATTTTTGGAAATAATCTGATGAAGCTCTGACAGGTATATATTGTACTTAGGTCTTATCTGCAGGAAGAACTAAGTGTTATTTTGAAACTATATTGTCACTTAAGAAACATAAAGTAGAGAAAATTCTGCCTTAGGCCAGTAATGGTCAATGGTTCTTTGCGCTGCCAGTGTGGAACTCACTGTACTGTTTAACACTTTCAGAGTAAATGGGGGACACAGAAAATGTCCACAAAAGAAGTCACCATTAATGTTACAAAAAGCATCAGACAAAGTGACAGACGGAAAACAAAGAATTGTGTCAATTAAGGAAGCAAAGCACAAGTGAGGATGGACTCAACAATGCTTCGCTGCACTTTAAATGTTGCTGAAAATACAAAGATCTCCAGATGTTCCATGTTGAAAACAGCAGGCAGCTGCTGCTGAGTGCCTTCAGAAACATGTCATGTGGAAACCAGCTGCAGACACTGTAGGATGTTCAGAGGTAACTTGTCTAAAGCAGTGGCGCTTTGCAGACATACACCAAAATTCATACCATTTGGTTTTTATAAATCCTGTGTTATCTCCTTGTCTACGTCCTGTTCTGCATTGCTATTAGGATGAGGCTGAATGATGAGAGGAAATGAACAAATGAATCTGCATTTTTAGTCATTAAGAGTTTTGAGTTTTTACATTCAAACCCATGGAGTTCACTTAAAGCACTCACTTTCATAAAACTCAAACCCAGAGATCTCAGAAAGAGACCCATAGGTGGCTTCCACTAAATCTCTTTTAAACTATATATGCCAGTTATATATAGTTAAGTCATATAGTAACCTTTTTATATATTAATCTTTTAATGGCTGAGTTTTAATTTATTGTCTGTATTGACAGAATTTAGGTCTTAAAAATAGTCACTTTCATATTGATCAGCTTTACTTGAAATTCCTAGTCTTAGCTGGCAGGAAGGGTTCTAGCTACTTGGTTATTTTATATATGCCCCTTTAATTATATTGAAGCCTAGATTGACTTGGAAAAAAATTATGATTAATTTTACATTAAAATAATCATAATTCTTAAAACCATATTCCAATTACAGCTCAAAAATAACTTTATTTCCTCAGATATAGTTGATTTGCTGTGCAGAACTTATTTAATTGCATTGTAAGCATCTCGTATCATAGTACTCCATGTTTATCATAAATTACAGCTTAAAGGAATATAAGTGTTCAGTGTAGTAAAGAACGGGAATTAGTTCAATGTATTACTTCTTAATGTAGAAGTAATAATATATATTCTCTGTGAGTTTGTATATGAAGATAAAAGAGGTAAATTTATTTGCCTCCCCCAGCAGACATATATGAGGGGGCCAGTTAAAACAGCTATTCAAAAGTTTCATAACAAACAAATGGCATTGGGAAGAAAATTCATGTATGAACTGCAAGAAGTCCTTTTTACACATAGGACAAATAAGTGTAAATAGAATTGTGGGACTGAATCCTAATTTATTCCGTATTAGGATCATTTTAATAACTTGCTGCTAGGTGTGTGAGTACTTAATACTTTCCTTGGAGTACAAGTCTATGCAATAGGCAATTGTTTATTAATTATTCTGACACAAAGGCAAACTGACATCCAGAGTCAGTGCAAGATTTTTGCATTCATATAAGAAATATTTAATATTAGACATCCTAAAAAGGAACAAAGAACTTGTGCTAAGCTTTCTGTAGGTCAGTGTGTTATCTGGCAAGTGATCTTGTGCTGCACATTTATGTAGAAGAACTAAACAATATTGAAAATATTATTGTACAGGTAAGACACTGGCAGTCTGTGTATGTCCTTCCAATTTGTGGATTTCTGACAACTTGTTGGCAACATTATAGGACAGGAAAGGACTTTACTTACTCGAACAATACACAGTGGCTGTAGCAGGTCAGCAATGTTAATTTAGAAAGGGATAGCCATTGTTGGTGGCCGTGTACTGACTTAATTGAAAGCACATGTTCAAGATTCTGTGTTACATGTGTAGAGCAGAAGATGAACCATTTCAGATCGGAGCCAGACTTGTAACCTGCTTCTGTTTCAAAGGATTAAGTGGCAGAGAGAAAGCAGTATAAACCCGTATGATACAGGAAAGCTACAGAAAGTGGTTGATGATGCTGGTGTGTGAAAGGGTAGAGGAGATTTTGATGGAAAACAAAAGGGAAGGTTTACTGTGTAAGAAGCTGCTCCACAGAGAGCTGCCTTGGGTGGATACCATGTCAGGGTGAGAGGATGCAGCAACAAAGGAGACTTGGCAGTGAGATTATTTACTAGCTCATAAATAATTTTTTAATGATGTGCTGACCTGATGCATCTGATGGCTTGGGTCAGAGAACAGAAGAAAGCCTGCAATGCTGCATAGCGCATTGGTATGAGAAACAGCCCCGGCGGCACGTGAGCAGTCAGCAGGGAGACAGTTTTTGAGTCTCATATTGAGAGCATGAGATGTGACAGGATGGTTAGCAGGAGGTGGCCTTGGTATGTAATGATCTGGGCAATACTACAGAACTTGCTTTTGTTGACCACATCCCCCATCAGGGCAGCAGCTGTGGAGCCGTGAAGGCTGGCAGACCTGGGTGACTCCTCTGTCTGTTCACAATAACTTCCCTGAGCTACTTCAAGATTTCATAAATCTGCTCAATATCCTGAAACTTAACTTTAGGGCATTCAAAGACTGGATCCAACTTCAAACCATGTCTAATTACAGGCAACTTTATAAACTCTTCTTATGTAACACATTACTGTTATTATTCATTAGGTGGTAACACAAAAACCCCTACATTATGTCTTCAGTGGCTTCTTAGTTCTTGATGCATAAGCTTCCAGTGACCTTAATAAAACGAAGAGCGTGATGTGGAGATGTGGATCCTGCCTATGTACATACATAGTGTTGCATTTATGTTTACTTTCCTTCTATTAAAGACAACCATCAGTAGAAACAACCAATCTGTTTATGAAATAATATACCACTCCCACAATTAAGGGTGACAGAATCTCCAAAATAATATACCACCCACAGTTAAGGGTGACAGAATCTAGTCTGTACTGCTTAAGACAATTTTAAGTCCTAAAAATAGATTCCTGTGCTGGTTTCAGTGGAATAAACAAGCTCAAAGAATCATCTGGACAACTTCACTCCAACTGGCCTTCCTAGGAATGAAGAGCATTATTTACAGGGTCTGTTCTTCGAGTAGCATCTTTCAAATATAAACAGCTCAAATACAGGAAATAAAACAACTATGTTAGAAGACACAAACTTTTATATAAAGTACCTGCAGACATCTCTGTGTCCTTATATGACAGGATTTTTTAGATGTAATTTTCCCCCAAAAGATATTATGCCATTTAATTTGTTCCACGTCTCTTGGCCAGACAGGAAGATTTCTAAAGATACACCAAAACAACACACTTTCTGCTGAAATGATTTGCCAACATTGGGTGAGTTTTTATGATTTACCTGAGTTCAGGTTTTAAATCAAAACAAACATACTTCGTCATGCTTCCACAATTCCAACACAACACATAGATAGGATTTTCCCCTGATGTGTATATATTTTGAGGTGAATTGACCCTGGCTGTACACCAAGTGCCCACAGAAGCCACTCTATCAGTCCCCTCCTCAGCTGGACAGGGGAGGCAAAATATAATGAAAGGCTCATGGGTCAAGATAGGGACAGGAAGACATAAATCACCAATTACCATCACAGGCAAAACAATCTCAGCTTGGGGAAGTTAGTTTAATTTACTACCAACCAAATCAGAGCAGGATAATAAGAAATAAAATCAAATCTTTAAAACACCTTCCCCCCACCCCTTCCTTCTTCCTGTGCTTAACTTCACTCCCAATTTTTCTACCTCCTCCCCGACAGCAGCACAGGGGGACGGGGTTCTTCACAAGTTGTCTCCG